CAGCTTTGCGTATGGTGTTGCCTCTCGCTGAACTCAAGTCCCAGCACCCTGATTTAGTTCCTGTGTGACCTGGGGCAAGTCACCTAACCTCTCTGAATCTCAGTGGCTTTGTATGTAAAACAAAGTAACACTACCTTCTACTTCAATGAAGATGAGATGTGCAGGCATGCCATATTCTAGAAAGTCCCATATACCCTGAAATTTCCATTTACATTGGAGCATCTTACTCAGGTATTTGTCCCTCTTACTGCTATTTATAATAAAACAAAAGTCCCCTTAGAATGCTGGGTTCCTGGCTTGCATATAATTTTCATGAATTCCTACAACTGTTCTTTTCACTTAAAATATCTATACACCAGCTTCCAGAACTGTTGAGAAATAAATGTGTGTTCTTTATAAACTAATAAAATAAGAAAGTAAAATCAATAAAGCCCCATCAGACCCGAGGACTGCCTTCCGTATCTGAGTTCTCAGGTTGGATCGGCTGGGGCAAGGACAGGGGTAGACACTGGGGGGAGGGGAGACAGACACACTCATGCCCAGGGAGAAACTCCCAAATCCAAAATAAACACAAACTACATGAAGCACCCTCCACAAGGTCTTTGTTTGTATTGGAATCCTGGGCCAGGACGAGGTTCCTTGGTGGTACCGAGCCCCACTTCCTAGTGATCGCATGTGGGTGCCATCAGTACTGAGGGACACTCATCCCAGTGTTCCTGCCACCCAGGTAAACACGGTGTGACATCAGCTATCCTCCCCGCCCCCACCCCCACATCACTGGGCCTCTCTGCGGTGACTCCCAGCACACACCAGGAGCCACCAGGACAGCTCCCGCTCTGCTGCAGCAGGGCGCTCACCCTGGGGAGAACTGGGTAGCTTTAACTCCAGGCAGCCTCCCCAGCCAGTCTCAGGGGAGCCCCTGCGAGGGAGCCAGCAGGTTACATTCACTCCAGACGCTGGCATACAGTAGGCCCTCAATAAATGCACACATCAGTGAACTGAAGCCTGCCTGGAACCTCTCGTTTTCCTTGGGCATCATGCATGCATGTGGTCTTCAGCAAGGCACTCAGTCATTCATTCATTCATGCATGCACTCATTCATCTGACACGGAGCGACTCGTCCTGCGCCGTGCGGCAGGGAGTGACGAGCGCTCACGCAGAGGTCTGCGCACAGGGCAGCGGAAGCAGAGGCGAGTGAGTCCTCAGTCACGCTGCTGGGAAGTGGCGAGGGTGGCAGGGACTTCCCGAGGAGATGGTGTGTCTCCTCGGCCTCAGGGGGTGAGCAGGAAGTCCATGGGCGGACGGAAGGAAGAGCAGCACATCCCGGATGGAGGCAGCCGGAACAGAGCAGGAGGGAGGCCGGAACGTGGAACCGGCATCTCACAACCTGGGCCGGCCCTTTGGAGCAGGGAGGGTGGCTGAGCTGCAGACAGGGCTGAGGCGGTGCGAGAAAGGCCCACACACCAGGCCCAGAATGGGGCCGGGCCGTGTGTCCCGCGGGCTCCAAGGACCCATCAAGGAGCTCTGGGCAAGAGCGGGCCATGATCTGTCTTTACCAAGACCGCTTATCTTATGCGATCCTGTCCAATTCATCTGTTCTGCAGTGAGGCTGGCAATGTGTACAAGCAGGGACAGAGTCTGACTGTCCCCAGCGCAATGGGGGGGACATAGGAGGCGCTCATCAAACAGCAGCCCGAGGACAGGGGGTTCACGCTCCAAGGAAGGTCCAGGAGTGGACCCACATCCATCACCTTCGAGCTGGAAAGTGGGCGTAGAGCAGGCTATGGAGCGACACAGTGGTCGAGTCCCCGGGACAGCAAGGCCGACCTGATTCACTTGGTGAGGGCCTACGGCACCGGCACCCCGGGTTCTAGTCCCGGTCGGGGTGCCGGTTCTGCCCTGGTTGCTCCTCTTCCAGTCCAGCTCTCTGCTCTGGCCAGGGAAGGCAGTGGAGGATGGCCCAAGTGCTTGGGCCCTGCACCCGCATGGAAGACCAGAAGGAAGCACCTGGCTCCTGGCTTCGGATCAGCGCAGCATGCCGGCCGTAGCGGCCATTTGGGGGTGAACCAGTGGAAGGACGACATTTCTCTGTCTCTCTCTGTCTCACTGTCTAACTCTGCCTGTCAACAATAACAACAAAAAAAAAAAAAAAAAAGAAAGAAAAGAAAAGAACGAAACCAGAATATAGCAGGACAGAAAGCAGAGACCCCTCATGGAGAATCAAACTCAGGAAGGAAAATGTATATTTTATCATCTTTTAAAAAATTATTTTACTTTTCTTTATTTGAAAGGCAGAGAGAGACAGAGATCTCCCATCCACTGGTTCATTCTTCAAATGCCCACAACAGCAGGTGCTGTGCCAGCCTGAAACCAGGAGCCTGGAAGCCATCTGGGTCTCGCACATGAGTGGCAGGGACCCAAGTGCTTGAGCCATCTCTGCCGCCTGCCAGGCAGTGTGCCTATCAGCGGGAAGTGGAGCTGAGGCTGGACCAGGCGCTCCACTATGGGACACAGGCATGCCAAGTAGCGTCGTACCCCAGTGCCAGCCCCAGAACGAGGTGGCTTGTCCACGGTGGGAAAGAAGGTGGAAGCCAGAGACATCCTCTAAGCTGCCCGCCGGATGTTGAGCAGGAAGCCTTCCAGCTGGCAGGATTCTCCAGCCAGGGGGCGCACACACACCCCCCCCACACACACACTCTGGCTGCAGGAAGCATCTCCCCCACCATGAGGTCACCCTTTTGAGTTCCAGCTCCTCGTCACTTCCTGAAGCTGCCCTGCTGGGCCCGGGCCAGGGGCTGCACAGGCCGGGGAGTCCACACAACTGCAAGGCCGCGGGTGGGGGTTAGCAGCATCATCACCAACTCGGTCTGCCTGCCCAGACTGTCTCCAGGTCACAGGAGGTGCCCAGGCACAGCCCCCACCCGCAGTTCCCACCTAGCAACCAGGTAAGGACTTCGCTGGCAGGGTTTGTTTTCCTTTTGTTGGGGGTAAAAGGGAGGGGGCCAAAGAACCATACCCAGAGCTCTGCTTCCCTCTCTTCCGGAAAGGGAAGCAATGAAGACAGCCACGATCGGAGCCCCTGTCCCCGAGTCAGCACGGAATGCCTCTTCTCTCGAACCCTTACCACCCCTGTGCCAGGCAGACTTGCAATGCAGCTGAAACAGCGAGGATCAGACTGCAAGCCAGCGCTCCCCACACCACAGCAACATCGTGAACCTGCCCTGGTCCTTGGGCCCTGCTGGCTTCCTGCAACTCTGCTACCTCGACCAGACCCATTAGAGAAAAGACAAGGAGCTCATCGGAGGCTGCTCCCCTAGAGCCAGCACAGACATCAAAGCACAGCCGTCCATCGCATTACCAGCAAGGAGACCCAGGTGCACCCCCACGCAAGCTATTTCCTGCTTGGTGGATGACCCCGGAGGTCCAAAGGCCTGTCCAGGGGACCCCAACTTTGACCCTGTGACTCCCGGGCAAAACACTGCAAGAGGCCTTCTGTTAGAGGAAACTCAAAATATCATAATAGGCACAGGAGGGGGACCAGCGGAAGAGCTGGGAGGAGGATGCACGCTGGGGTGCAGGGCTCACGGCCTGGCCCAGCTACTGTGAGACGGGGGGCCTGTCGTGGCTGCTCCAGCCAGAATGGGGGTGTCAATGTGGACTCTGCCCTGCCTTTACCCGCACATCTAGGTAGGCACTGACCGCTGCTCACACGACCGCTTCGGCAGAGCCTCTGTCCTCTGGCCAGCTGCCAGTCTCCAGGCTGTCCCCATTCTGTCCATCCCCCCAGCCAGAGGCACTGTCCTGAAACACATACCTGCTGCTCTCACCTCCCTGCTCACCTCTCACCTCCCTGCTCACCCGGCCCCTGTGTCTCTCAGGACAAAGTGCAAGCTCCATGGCTCAGCTCCCTCCCCTAGGGTCAGCTTCCTGCTCCCTCTGCACTCCCTCTCACGTGCACTTCGCAAGAAAGCCCTGCCCTGTTTAGTGACCACATACACTACAGTCCTCCCTTCCTTACAAGGCTCTTCTCTGCTAACTCCTGCCAGTCCTTTAGGATTCAACTCAAATACCACCTCTTCCAGGAAGCCCTCGCTAATACCCCACTCTTAGATGTCCCTTCTTTTGGGCTCCCATGATGCCCCCAGTCCCCCTGCCCGGGGCTTCCTCTCTCACAACACTTACAGCTGTTGATCTTTCTTCTCTCTCTTCTGCACCGAGTTCCCTGGAAAGAGGAACTAAGCCCAGACAGAACCTCGGTTGCTTTTGTATCTACGGCAATTCTCAGGCACCCTGCACGGTCCTTGAAAGATCGCAGGAATTCTGGACAGAAAAACGAATGGGCGTCTCCCCCGTAAACATGTCCCAGGTCTGAGCAGGGGACCCTGGGTGTCAGGGATCTCGCAAGGGTGCATGAGACGGCAGCTGAGCCGTGACTAAGGGAACTGCTCTTTCTACCGTGCCCACACTCTTGCTTCATGACGTCCAATGCGGTCACAGTGAACTTTCTCGACCCTGCCGATCAGTTACCACAAATGATCACTGGCCCTGGACGCAGCTTGAGGGCTGTGCTGTGGGGCAGAGTCAGTGAGGGCAGCCAGGGGTCCCTGCTGGGCTGGAGGCTGCAGGCTGGGCTGGGTGGGGGCTGGGCAGCCCACCGACCTCAGGAATTCCTTCTGGCTGTGCCCAGCCTGGACTTAGCTCGTGACAACAGGAAAGCTCCATCGTGTGAAACGTGCTTGGTCTAGTTTCCTGTCACTGGTCTGCTTGTTTAAAACTCACACCCCTCCTGCCCCTGAAAAATGCCCTGTGCTTTGACTAAGGAGCTTCTTGCAGGCTGTGCCTCAGTGGGTGACAGGACTGGACAGGCGGGCTCTCTGCACGGCACCCTTGCTTTCCCGGGAGCTCAGGCTTTGCCAGGGTAGGATGAGGAGGGCCAAGCAGGCCCCAGGCCCCTCCTGCCTCCTAAACTCGGGTGCTCGTCCCCTGTGCCCCTTACTGACCTTGAGATCAAAGTGAGCAATTTTCTTTGTGTGAAGGTAGTGCACCCCATCCAGGATCTGCTTAATGAAGCTGGTGGCCTCCTCCTCACTCAGCGACTCCTTCTGGGCCAGGAAGTCAAAGAGCTCTCCTCCAGACACTCTGCAAGACACCGGCGGGGGGGACCAGGCCCAGTCAGCTCTGCGCGGCAGGAGGCCAGGCTGCCCGGGTACACCTTGAACCTGACCCTCCAGGCACCGGCGGCGGGGGGGGCACCTTCCCCTTGCTCATGTCTGGAGAGTTATCCAAACAGTACCAGGGACTGACTGCCTCAAAGTGCTCTGTTCTTTCTTTTGCACCAGGACAAGGCCATGCTGAGCCTCTGCTCACCCCGCGGGCCCAGGCTCTTGGTCACTGTGGTTGTCACCCTGTCCCCTCTCTGAGGCAGCTGAGGACAGAGCCCAGCACAGTGGCAGATGCTATGCTCTGAATGGTTTTCTTGCCCCTCCCCCTCCACCCAGTTCATATTTTGAAACCCTAACCCCCAAGGTGTCAGGAGGGGGATCTTGGGGAGGTGACCAGGTCCCGAGGGCAAAGCTGCCAGGCCTGGGATGAGTGCCTGCTAAGGGAGACCTCAGAGAGCTCACCGCCCCTCCCGTGGTGCCAGCTGACAGGGAGAAGAGGGCCATCCAGGAGAAAGGGAGTCCCCGTGGACTTCCCAGCCTCCAGCCCAAGACAGAAATCTCCACCGTTGGTAAGCCCCCCAGTTCATGGGATCTGCTTGTATGGCAGCCTGAATGGGCTAAGTGCAAACAGAGGTGGAGTGCTATGGTGTGAACAGACTCAGAAGACAAAGAGGAACACAGAGAAACTGAAAACCCAGGCGCCACTCCAGCCCTGTCACCGACCACAGACAACTCATTTCCCTTCTCTGGTTAGGTCTCAGCTTTCTCACCTGCAAAATGGGCAGACCAGGCAAGATGGCCCCTCAAGTCCCCTTTCTCTGAATTTATAAAGGATAGTCTCCACAGGCTCAAGGGAATCTAGGCAAGTCTCCCAATCCAAACACAAGACCCCACTAACTATACCAATCTCTGACGGCTCTAGAATATGACTCTTGACATATTTTTTTTTTTTTTTGACAGGCAGAGTGGACAGTGAGAGAGAGAGACAGAGAGAAAGGTCTTCCTTTTTGCCGTTGGTTCACCCTCCAATGGCCACCGCGGCCGGCGCGCTGCAGCCGGTGCACCGCGCTGATCCGATGGCAGGAGCCAGGTGCTTCTCCTGGTCTCCCATGGGATGCAGGGCCCAAGTACTTGGGCCATCCTCCACTGCACTCCCGGGCCAGAGCAGAGAGCTGGCCTGGAAGAGGGGCAACTGGGACAGAATCTGGCGCCCCGACCGGGACTAGAACCCGGTGTGCCGGCGCCGCTAGGCGGAGGATTAGCCTAGTGAGCCGCGGCGCTGGCTTCTCGCTCCTTTCTTCAACAACACCTGGATGCACTCAAGAACCTGAGCATCAGGGAAAGAGCATCCAGACACGATGTGGCACAGCACGAAGGCCTTAGCAACTCCCACCGTGAATCGTGACCTAAAAAGCTGGACCTAAGTCTGCCTAAGCCTGGTGGTCAATGCAGTCAACAGAAGGTTCGGCAGTGGTGGGAATGTCCCATATACAGGCTGCCCAGTGCAGTGACCACTAGCCCAAGTGTCTTCTGGGCACTTTGAAAAAATGGCTAGTGCATGGAGGAATGGAATTTTATTTTTTAAGACATTTATTTTAAAGGCAGAGTGACAGAGAGAGAGAGAGAGAGAGACAAAGAGAGAGAGAGGATGTCAGAGGGACAGACCTTCCATCCACTGATTTATTCCCCAACATGGCTGCAAAAAACAGGGCTGGGCCTGGTCTCCCACAGGGGTAGCAGGGGCCCAAGCACTTGAGCCATCTTCCATTGCTGTCCCAGGCACATTAGCAGGAAACTGGATCAGAAGCAGAGCAGCTGGGACTCATGTTGGCACTCTAATATGGAATGCAGCATTGCAGGCTGCAGCTTAACCACTGCACAATACCAGGCCCTAGAAACTTAACTTTAAATTCAATTTATGGATGGGCATTTGGCCTTGCAATTAAGACACCTGTTAGGATGCCTGAGTCACACATCAGAGTACCTGGATTTAATCCTTGGTTCTAGCTTCTTGCTAATGCAGACCCCAGGTGGCAGTGGTGATGGCTCAAGTAGTTGGGTTCCTGTTGCCCACATGGGAGACCTGCGTTGACTTCCCAACTCTCAGCTTTCACCTATCCTATCCCTGGCTGTTGTGGGCATTTAGGGAGAGAACCAGCAGATAGGAGTACTCTCAAGAAAAAATTTTAATGATTTAATTTCAATTTTAGTTTAAAAACTGAAGTGGAATGAAACAATTTTCCATTAAACAAACATAACATAATTCTTTTGGTAGGACTGCATTTTGCTTTTTTTTTTTTGAAAGGCAGAGTTAGGCAGTGAGACAGAGAGAAAGGTCTTACTTCCATTGGTTCACCCCTCAAATGGCCGCTACAGCTGGCGCACTATGCCGATCCCAAGTCAGGATCCAGGTGCTTCCTCCTGGTCTCCCATTGGGTGCAGGGCCCAATCACTTGGGCCATCCTCCACTGCACTCCCAGGCCACAGCAGAGAGCTGGACTGGAAGAGGAGTAACCGGGACAGAACCAGTGCCCCAACCAGGACTAGAATCCGGGGTGCTGGCGCCGCAGGCGAAGGATTAGCCACGTGAGCCGCAGCACTGGCGTGCATTTTGCTTTAACCCCAGAGTTACATACAAGTTGAGATAGGCTATAATGTAAAATGTTCACCAGATTTTGAAGAAATTTTCTTTATACATAGTATGAAGAAAGAAAAGTAGAATATCCCAATAAATTTATATTGATATTACATATTAAACAATACTTTGTTTATATATGATTAAATTATATTATTGCGATTGATTCACTTATTTCCTTTTACTAATTCAACTTGGCTCTGAGAAAATTGTAAGTTACATATGTGGTTCGAATTACTTTTCTGTCGGGCAGCAGGAAGGGGCTCTCCTTTAGATCCAGCCACCAGTTTACAGAAGATGCAGGGGCTGGAGGAACAAGTCAGATAACAGCATAACAGCTGGAGGTGTGGAGCGGCAGGCTAAGCCACTGCTTACAACACCAGCATCCCATATCAGGACGCTGGTTCAAGTCTCCGCAAGTCTGCTTCCAATCCAGCATCCTGCTAGTGTGCTTGGGATGGCAACAGAAGGTGGCCCAAGTGTTGGGCTCCTGCCACCCATGTTGTTGGAGTTCCTGGTTCCTGACTCTGGGCTGGCCCAGCTCTGGCAACGGTGGCCTTTTGGGGAATAAACCAACAGCAGATAGAAGATTCTCTCTCTCTCTTTCTCTCTCTCTCTCTCACTATACCTTTCAAATAATCTTTTAAAAAAATCCCATGAGGAAGGAATATATCAAATCTAGACTATGAGATAATCAACAGGACAAATGACTTCATTTTTCCAACAAATCATAAAATATGGGGATAAAGGAGAGAAGGGGAAGATGGAAGGGTGCAGAGAGTGAGCTGAGGCGGCCCCTTGGAGGGTAATGACTGCTGGAACCTTAGAGAACGCTGGATGAGTTGAGGCCTGCAGTGGCTGCCTTGGTGTGGAGGCCAAGGCTGGTGCGCTGTTTCCTCAGCGTCTCATGGGTGAGGTCATCCTGTGCCCCACCCCCACCTGGGGCAGGGTTTGGCAGCTGGATCGCCTTGCAGCTGCAGAAGCAGTAACCTTGAGTCTGCTCTGCAGACTGGGGTCAAAGGGCCAGCACAGTGGCCTCAGCCTTTACCTTAGGGCGGGGCATGTGGGAGTTCCAGGGCTCAGCTTTTCTTGTGAAACAGGACAAAGAAACTGTTTCATGCCACCTTCTGGGTGGGGCTGGGAGTGGGAGGAATCTTGAATCAGAGGCCCCTGATAAAGGCGGTGAGCTCAGCACCGTGCACCTGTCATCGCCAGAGGTGGCCGAGGGGGCCGAGGGGCTGCCTTGGAGTCCAGCTTTGCCACCTGCGCGAGCTGCTTTCCCAAACATTGCCTCACTACAGCCTCACATCCACCCCAAGAGGGAGACGGAGGTCCCCGTGTGTCAGACGAGGAAACGGGCGCAGAGAGAGCAATGGCTTGCCTAAGGTCGCACAGCCAGGAGGCAGCAAACCCAGGCTTTAGACCCAGATCTTCTCAGCCCAGTCCAGCACATGTCCCTCTGCCTGTGCTCCTTCCGTATTGCAAAGCCTGAGACGCTGATGCAAACAGGAGTGCCCCAGGGCCAGCCCAGGCACTGGGCAGTCCTCCGACATCCCTGCTCGGCTGCATCCACGGCTTCACCACCCTCGGCTTCCTTATTGTCTCTCTCTCTCCCCGGCTACATCATTGTGACTTCCATGGTACCTAGTGCGAAAAAGACCCTCAACAGGACCTTGCGGAATAAAGAACAGTCGGAAGAAACAAAACGCTAAAAATGTCAACATGACATAGAATGTTCCATGTCACATGGAGAGCGAAGCCTTGGCATTAGCAAGAGACCTGTGCAGAGCCCTTTGTGAATTTCCAAGTCCACAGTGCCCCATTGCAACACACAGACCCAGCCTTGCCCCTGTCCTCCTAGCCCAGGTTGAACGAGGCTGTGATCCTGGGGAAATCCCACCAGTCCTACTGTAAGTAAAATGCTGCACCAATATAGAAGATGATGGCTACCCTGGAGAGACATTCTATCACCCAAAGCCACAAACAAGAGGCTCCTCCCTGCTGGCTGAGGGCTTTGCAAGGCGGTAACCTGCCATCTGCTTAAAGGTGTGAACTAGGCAGGAAACCTGAAAAGACATGGTCTCCTTGTGCTGACAAAGGGGGAGCCACGTGGCTCCTGGCCCTTCCATCTCCCGCAGACTCAGAAAGGCGGGAGCCTGCCCAAGTAACTGCTGGAGCCCTGGGTGCCCAGCTGGGGGCCTCCGCACCCAAGATCAGCCATCTCTTTGCAAGGTTTTCCTTCCTTTTTCCCACTACAGTTTCTACCAAGACCTTCCCAGAGCTAAGGCCCGGGGCCGAATCCCGCCCCATCTCCTTCCACACGCCTTCCCTCTCTCATCTCACGTTTCTTCAGCCTAAAGGAGAAAAGCAAACCCTAACAGCCTGGCCACCCCCCTTCTTGGAGTGCTCCCAGGAGCTCTGAGCACAGCCTCGGTGCTCCCTGCAGGTGGGTCTGCCTGCTGGAACTCTGCTGGGAGCGAGTGGCTGATGGGGGAGGGATGTGGCCGGGGCTGCCGGAGCCCAGGAAGCTGGGTTTGATTCGGGGAAGCAGCAGGCCCGAGCCAGGGTATTGCCTTCCACAGGCTCGAAGCTGGGGCGGCCCCAGAGGCAGTCAGGGGCCTACAGGTCTCACTTGCATCTTTCAGGGTGATGGCCACATGCGGCACGAGTTAGCCTATGAGATTCTGAACACATCCTCTCTACCTTGTCTGAACAACTCAACCCTGCCCAACCCTGCCCAACCCTGCCTGCTGAGCCCCGTCTGCCTGCTTCCGATCAGGCCAATGACCTGACCATGGCCTCTAAGGAGGCTGCAGCTGGGATCACAGCAGCTGAAAGGGACTTAAATCAAGGCTGCTCATGCCCTCTTGCACAGCAGAGGCAGAACAGCAGTTGCTAGAGGGCAGGCTCTGCCGAAAATCTGAAGCTGAATGGGTTTCAGCTGAGTGGGCGGCTGTTGGTGCTCACGTTCAAGTGTGGGGCAACCACTAACCCGCCAGGTCCCAGGGAGGCCCGGGAGGCCCAAGACTTCTGATCAGCCGGAGAGGAGTCACCAAGTCCAAGCACCAAGCCCCATCAATTAACGCCTCTCCAGGGAGACCCCTCCACCCACAGACCCTGGCCACGCTGTTCAGGCCTGTTCAGTCTTGGCAAGTTTGGGTCTAATTTCATATACCCTTTGAGCATTCCTGAGGCAGGCACTCTGAGGGTAGTGAGATGGGCTTGGATGTAAAGGAGGAGACGGACACTGATGCGGGCTGGTATGGTGGTACAGTGGGTTAAGCCACCATTTGCAACGCCACCAACCTATATTGGAGGGCAGGTTTGAGTCCTGGCTGTCTGCTTCAAATCAGAATAACGTGCCTGCAAAAGCAACAGAGGGGGGCTGGCTCTGTGGTGTAGCGGGTAAAGCCACCACCTGCAGTGCCAGTATCCCATATGGGTGTCAGTTCAAGTCCTGGCTGCTCCACTTCCGATCCAGCTCTCTGCTATGGTCTGGGAAAGCAGTAGAAGATGGTCCAAGTCCTTGGGCCCCTGCACCCGCATGGGAGACCTGGAAGAAGTCCTGGTTCCTGCCTTTGGATCGGCACAACTCCAGCTGTTGCGGACAATTGGAGAGTAAACCAGTAGATGGAAGACCTCCCTCTCTCTCTCTCTCTCTCTCTCTCTCTCTCTTTCTCTCTGCCTCTCCTTCTCTCTGTGTGTAACTCTTCCTTTCAAATAAATCTTAAAAAAAAAAAAAAGCAACAGAAGATGGTCCAAGTCCTTGGGCTCCTGGCTTTGGCCTGGCCCCGATCTGGTTATTGCACATGGAAGGTCTCTCTCTGTCTCTTCCCCTCTCTGTTTCTCTGCCTTTCAAATAAATAGAATAAAATATTTTTTTTAAGATTTCTTTATTGTTATTTGAAAAGTAGAGTTAGAGAAAGAGAGGGAGGGAGAGACAGAGACAGAGAAAGAAATCTTCCATCTGCTAGTTCATTCCCCAAATGACCGCAATGGCTAAGGCTGGGTCAATCTGAAGCCAGGAGCCAGGAGCTTCCTCTGGGTCTCCCACATAGGGGCAGGGACCCAAGCACTTGGGCTTCATAGGCACACCAGCAAGGAGCTGGATAGGAAATGGTGAAGCGGTGCCCTTTATATGGGATGCGAGCATTGCAGGTCCTTCACCTGCTATGCCACAGTGCTGGGCCCAGAATAAAATCTTAAAACAAAACTGTGAACAGACAGAACTCAATGGGCCAGCAGCCCAAGCCAGGCACAGGAGCCCCCGTGTGAGGACGGATGTCAGGGGAGGCATATCGGGGCTGCTGAGTGAGAAGTGTGCACATAACTGGGGGCCGCCTCTGAGCCCCTGAGGACCTCAGGAACATCCTCAGAGCACCCCAAACCCCACTCCTGAGATTCCACACACAAGCAAAGCGGGCAATTTCCCCAGTAATTAAAACATAAGCACACCATCAAGGAATAGCCATAAAGATCAGTAAGTAATGAAACAGGTTTCAAAACCAGTGACCCAGGGGCTGACACAATTGGTGGCAAATGAAAACACACCTATGTTACAGGCAGCCCTGGTTAATCAACACCAGCGTTTGAAAGCAAAACTATCAGAAGCCCTAAAAACATCTGCCTTTGACCTAGTCCCTCCTGGGGATTTAGATAAAAGAATTCAAAAGAAAAATGAGCCAACCTTGTGGGAAGAAAATTGCTTCCCAGTAGAACTTGTAATGGTGAAATGATGAGCAATACAAACCAATGTCCAACAACAGGGACCCAGTATTGGCAGACAAATCAATAAAACACGGGACAGTCAGATAAAAGAGAAAAGGCTATTTACGGAATTGCATTAACTGGGGGGAAAGAACAGCAAGAAACTGGACAATGATTGTATACAAATAAAGCTGGGAGGAGCCACAGGAAGAGAAAGAGCTGTGTTTTATGGTAGGATTATGCATGTAATTTCTTTTAGTTCCTATGAATTTGTGTTTTTTTTTTTTTTTAACAATAGAGTTTAGAGAAGTGGCGTGGCCTTTCCAGCACCGTGGGGTTTGTCACTGTGCTGGCAATCAGGATGCCAACTGTGCATGCCACCCCTTGGGCTGGCCACACCTGGGGGACCCCACTGTCTGCGTCAGGCTGGTGCAACCGGCCAAGAGGTCCACAGGAGAAATGTGGGGAGCACTGGGAACTGGGGAAGAGGCTAGCACATTTCTACACATTTCAACCCTGGGCTGGATGACGTTAACAGTCACACACAACTGGGGCCGGCACTGTGGCATAGCAGGTAAAGCTGCCACCTGCAGTGCCAGTATCCCATAAGGGCACTGGTTCGAGTCCCGGCTGCTCTGCTTCCGATCCATCTCTCTGCTATGGCCTCGGAAAGCAGAAGATGGCCCAGGTCCTTGGGCCCCGGCACCCATGTGGGAGACCCGGAAGAAGTTCCTGGCTCCTGGCGTCGGATCAGCTCAGCTCAGCTCTGGCCGTTGCAGGAATGAACAAGCAGATGGAAGACCTCTCTCTCTCTCTCTCTCTCTCTCTCTCTCTGCCTCTGCCTCTGCCTCTCTGTAACTCTGCCTTTCAAATAAATAAATAAATCTTTGTGTTTTTTTTTTTTAAAAGAGTCACACACAAGAGTACACAAATGCCTATCTGCTTCTTCAGTCTGCACCCTGCCAAGTCCAGGATAGAATGATTTCAAATGTCAGGTGGCCCCCAATCTGAGGGTTGGGTAAGGATGGCTACATGGTTTATAGACGAGATCTGAAGCTCAGGGGGTGGGGTGACTTTGCTCAAGATCACAAAATCAGGGGCTGCTGAGACAAATGCCACCATCCCCCTGCTAACTGGCAGGTGCACACATGCTTAAGGGACTCCAAACATCTCTTCAATTATTTGAAGGCTCCCCTCATACCTTCTTTTGTTTAAATTTATTTTATGTGAAAGGCAGAGTAATAGAGGGAGAGAGACAGAGACAGAGACAAAGATCTTCCATCCGCTGGTTCACTCCCCAGATGTCCACAACATCTGGAGGTCGGCCAGGCCAATCCAGAGACTGGACTGGAAGTGGGGTGGGGACCTGAACCCAGGCACTCTGTCTCGGGAGGCAGGTGTCCCAGGTAGCATCCTAACCCTCACACTAAATGCCCACCCTTCAGAACATTAACACGGAGTCTGGCTGCTTGATTGGACACAGCTACTGTCTTGTATCACAGCTCCACCCCAACTACTCTCTGTGGAAGTCCCACCTGTCTGTTCCATGACAATGCCTTCAGCTCACCAGGGTGGCCACCCCACCCCTGTGGTCTGAGTATCACCTTTCCCTATTCTGCTGAACGCTGTGAGGTCTCCCCTGGCTAGACCAGCTATAAGGCCAGCCCACCCTGTGCTCACAGCTGTGTACACAAACCGTGCTGACCCCAGTCCTGGCCCTGCCACCTCCAGGCTATGGGATCTTGTAAGTGCCCTGGTCCCTCAGTGTTCTCATCTGTAGAATGGGGTAAGAAGAGCATTCGTATGACAGCATGGTTGGGAGGATTGAAGAAAGAAACATGAGTGCTGAGCACAGTGCTAGTGAGATGCCTCCCTCATCACCGTCTGTCACGGACAGAGCAAGATGACAAAGATACAGCACTGCTCAGACAGCTCAGCTTCTAGTGGGGCTCTCTAAACAGCAGCTATGGTGAAACTAACAGAGGCATTGGACAAAGCACAGGTGCAGTGGGTTTTCCCCAGGGAAAGGTGGGAGCAGGGCTGTATAGAGCCCTAGGAGCTGTTGGCTCCTCCCCTCCTCAAAGAACAGATCCCTTCCTGCAGCCCCTTCCTGCCTCCCACCAATCCCTCTCAACCCCTCCCATCAGGGGAGGACCTGGTGTCTATTCCCTTTGGCCCCCAGGGCATAGTGGCAGCCAGTACTTGGACCACTGCCCTCCACCCCTGTGATCCAGCAAGCCCCACCCTCTTCCAGTCCAGTTCCAGATGGAGAACTGAGGGCCACTGATGCCCTCTCTCGAGGCCGACCTTCGGTCTGGGTGCTGCTGCTGCCCTCCTGGGCCTGGGGCTGGCACCGCCTCCCCCTGCCCGTCCCTGCTGCCCCACTCACAGCTCTAGGATGAGCACCACGTCGGTGCGGTTCTCGTAGACGTCGTGCAGCGTGATGATGTTGGGGTGCAGCACCTGCCGCAGGATGCTCACTTCCCGCTCGATCTCCTCCCGGCACACGCCCCGCCGGCTGGCCCGGCTCTGCCGCTTCTTGATGAACTTGGCTGCGTACTCGAGCCCCGTGCTCTTCTCCCGGCACTTCTTCACGATGGCGAACTGACCGCTGTGGGCACACAGACGCACACGGTGAGAACGCCACTGCGGCTGTCGGGCAGGTGGCCTCTCCCTCTCTCTCAACCAACAGGCCATGCTGATTCAAGGTCACACCGCAGGACAGGACAGATCACGCCACCCGCCAGCATCTGCACGTGGCCGACAAGCCAGGACTGGACTGGGCTGGGTACCGGGCCTCTCTTCCTTGCCTAGGAATCCTTGACCTTTCACCGGGGCCCTGGAAGGTGATGCACTTGGTCAGGTAGCCACCACCTTGTCCTAGCAAAGCCTCAGCTGGACTCCAAGTCTAGTGTCCCCCCGATGACAACACAATGTCCAGAAGCAGCCTGGGCTGTGGGTTGTGGCAGAAGCAGTCTCGCAAGGTTGACCATCACAGGGAGAAGTCACCCCAGTGAGAGGACTGGTGTGAGCACAGGGGCTGTGAAACCAGGAAACCAAGGCCCAAGGGAAGCCAGATGACGCACCTGAGGAGCCACAGCAGAGCCAGGCCTCAAAGCCAGCTCACCTCACTGTCCACCGCCTCGAAGACAGCTACAGGACTCAAGACCACGCTTCGTCAGTTCAGGCACTGGCACCCAGGCTGGGCCCGGGAACCCGTCACTCCAGGGACCGACAGCCCTGAGCCAGCAACCCTGGGTGCTCTAAAGACTGCCCATGCCCAGGGCAGCCACTGTCTGCCTCTCCATCCCAGGCCAGGCAATCAGCAGGGCGGAGGTAAGTCCCTGGGGACTGCCAGTGTTTACCTGCCCTGGGGTCCCCCCACTCCCCTTCCACCATTTCCACTTTGGCCCCCACTTAAATGCCACCCCAAATAGCCACTGCTCAGAAAGTTCATGGCTCAGCGTAAAGGCTCCATAAGGGGCCACCAGAGTCCAGGCTAAGGATGGACTTTGAGTGGCCTGGGGTTCATGTGACCCCCACTGAGGGCCCTGGGTGTCTGCTCCAACCTCAGAAAACAGCCCAGCATCAGGCCCATGCCATTATCAGAATAACCTTCAGAGAGATTGTCTTCAAGACAACCTGAGTGACAACCACAACCAGAAAGTCAAGTTGAGCAAGCAAAGAATACGGGCGCGCTTCAAAAAGTTCATGGAAACAGAACTCAAAGAGAAGTTTCCTTTGGGGCCAGAAAAAGTGAAATCCATGCAGTTATTTCATAGGATGCATTTTTCATGAATTGCTTGAACACACCACACAGATTCACCAACACTCCAATAACTCGTGATGGCAACTGCTTTTGAGATGTCACCAAGCCGAACTCATGTGTCCCTCTCCTCCTCCATCCACTCAGAATGGTCTAAGCATCTGCTGTGTGCTGGGCAGCAAAGCCTTTGGGCCTTGGGCACATCGGATCCCTTAGCAGCAAACCCTTGACAAACCTTCCAGCCCCAGGTGGCCGCAGGTCTAAGCATCGGGGCAGCCACACTCCTGAACTCTCCCTCCCTCCCCTCTCCCAGGGGACTGCAGCTGTCAGGGCCTGGCATTTCAGTTCCACGGCCTGTCCACAGCAGCCCGAGGGTGACCCAGCTGGTGGGGACAGCAGAGTTGAAGGGGTTAAAGTGGCGAGGTTCTGCTCCCAGGACACACAGGCAGCTGGCACCGCTGTGCTCTGGGACAGGCCCAGCGCCCAGCGGTCCAGCTCTCAGCCCTGCCCTCTGTTGATGGTGTCTGGACCACAGAAGGGCTGAAGAACAGCTCAGGCCATCTTGACACAGCTGGCCTGTGCCTTAGAAGGGAAACCGGGCCGGCGCCGCAGCTCACTAGGCTAATCCTCTGCCTGCGGCGCTGGTACTCCGGGTTCTGGTCCCGGTTGGGGCGCCAGATTCTGTCCTGGTTGCCCCTCTTCCAGGCCAGCTCTCTGCTGTGGCCCAGGAGTGCAGTAGAGGATGGCCCAAGTGCTTGGGCTTCTGCACCCGCATGGGAGACCAGGAGGAAGCACCTGGCTCCTGGCTTTGGATCAGCACAGTGCACTGGCCGGAACCGCCATTTGGGGAGTGAACCAACAGAAGGAAGACCTTTCTCTCTGTCTCTTTCTCACTGTCTATAACTCTCTCTCTCTCTCTCTCTCTCTCTCTCTCTCTCTCTCTCTGTGTGTGTGTCTCTCTCTCTCTCTGTCTAACTCTGCCTGACAAATAAAAATAAATAAATAAATAAAAATTTTTAAAAAGCTATAAAAAAAAAGAAGGGAAACCGGCTTTTTTCTCTATTGCACACCTCAAAAATTCCTCAAACCCTCAGAATGCAGACAAGTGTTTGCTTTTGCTGCCCCAAGCTTTCTCTCTGTGAGAGCAGCTGCAGCCATGGGAGGGGAGAGGGGTGGACGGGGAGGGCAGGGAGCCATTCTGCCTCCTTCCAGAAGGAGGTATTTCTTGAGAGTGGGAGCCACATACCAGGCGACACCACTCACCTGGCCGCTCTTCACGCTAGAGGGGCCTCCATGAGAGCCAAGGTCCCTGGCCAGGTTCCCCCTTACCCTGGGCATTACCACCCTCTCACAGACACAGCCCCTGGGACTTCAAGGAGAAGCAGGCCTGGCCTCAGGGACTTGTGCCATCACCTGGGGCGGCAAGTCTGTACCTGCCCTGAGCATCAGTCTTCTCATTTGTAAAATGGGTGTATGACTCCCTGCTAGACAACTGTGAAGACTGGACATATCCGTCTTGGAGTCAGGACTAATAAATGGCTCGTGGGAAGGCCAAGCAAGAGTGAAATGGCCTGGGGCGTGTAGCCAGGGCACGACCAGTCACGGGGCTATTACTGTGCTAAGCAATTAGCCAACTCTTGCTCCCAGAGCAGTGGTTCTCACTGCTGCCCGAACAGAGGAGTCACCCAGGGAATTTTCAATCTACTGGCGGGTGGCACTCACTCCTGGAGAGGCAGAAATCTGAATGTCCCAGGGGTGACCCTGGAGGGCAGCAGCCCTCTCGCTGTCTCCATTTCACAGAGGGTGAAACCGCGCCATTGCTGCTACCAGCACTCCCTGTGCCTCGCGCTGTTCCACTTCCCTGCCGCTCTCTGATCCAACTACGGAGGGTGAAGGGGGGTTGGGGGGGATTACAGGTAAGGGGTTGCCTCTGCACAGGCATGGCTTTGGCTTGAGAGTCAGCAGTCTGACTGCTGTCGTATGTGTTTGCAGAGCAACACAGACGATCCCCCTGGGCTCTGGGAGGGTTGTCGGAGTGGAAATTAGCAGGCACCCCCTGCACACTGCACCACAGCAAACGCACAGGGGCAGAACCCATCAGAGGCACCAGCGGACTCGGGGGCAGGCGATGACTGTGACCAGCCCTTGACCATGCACCAGGAAGGCCCTGCAACCAGAAGTTGAGGCCCACAGTGCAGAAGCCATGGAGCAAGGCAACAGCAGTGAGGGGTGGGATATGAGGTCCCTCTGGGTTAAGAGCACCGCCCAGGGAGGGAGCAGAGGAGAGCTATCCGACCTCAAAGGAGGGCACTGCCCACACTCACCCAAACATCAGGCCAATACTGAATCGCGGATGCTCATACGCAAAGCCTGTATGCTGCAGTGTGTGCCAACAGTCAGCACCTGATCCAGGGTCTCACATAGCAACAGGCCGGCCATCAGCAGGCCCCACCCCCGGCCTGCACCTGCCATCAAAGCATTGTAAGTTTGGAGCAGGAACTGGTCCCCTCGGTTCTTGTTTCTGCCACCTGAGGTCTTACCTAGGTGGGAAAGCTCTAAGGAGCCTGCGACCACAGGGAACAGAACTGAAGGCCTTCCCCCCACTCTCCAATTCCTATCTCGGGGCTGGCATCAGGAGACACAGGTTCTCAGAGCCCAGCCACTGCCCAGCCCTCACCCTGGGCAGCCTGGGCAAGCCCCCAGCATGATAAAAGCTGCATCACCCACCTCCTGGAACTGCTAAGAGAATCACAAACGACTGAGGGCTTTGCCACCCAGCAGCAGGGATGCAGGAGGTGAGGGTGCTGGGACCCGGGAGTCTGCGGCCAGCTTGAAGAAGTCCCACAGGGTGGCCTAGCGAGGGACAGTTAAGTCCACAACACACCAACCCTGCTCGGCACGCTGTCCCACAGCTATGTCAGGAACAGGCTGCAGCCCCTCGGTCACTCAGCTCCGGGGGAAGTGCCGTGGCATCGGCACGTGGGCCTCTCCAGGCACCCCGCGAGGGCTCTCCTGTTGTCTGCTGGATGTCACGTGGAAAGAGCCCACCTGGAGCAGCCCCCAGAGCTCAGAAACCACCCCAGCCCCTCCTGAGCACCACAGAAGAACCTGGCCCAAGCCTGCCCAAACTCTTCACTGCCAAGGGTGGTGAGACCCTGGGCGTGGCCTAAATGTCAGCCCATACTGTGGGCTCTGCAACGTTCACCTCCTGTTTTCTCTCCATAAGCTAACTTTGTATGCATTTTGTCTCTTTTTAAAAGATTTATTTATTTACTTAACAGGCAGTGTTAGAGAGAGACAGATCTTCCATCTACTGGTTCACTTCCCAAATATCCACAAGAGGCAGGACTGGGGCAGGCTGAAGCCAGGAGCAAGGAACACCATATGGGTCTCCCATGTGGGTGGTAGGGGCCCGAGCACTTGGGCCATCCTCCACTGCCTTCCCAGGTGCATTAGCAGGGAGCTGGATTGGAAGTGGAGCAGCCAGGACTCGAACCAGTGCTCCAATATGAGATGCCGGCCTCACAAGTGGTGGCTTAACTTGCTGAGCCACATCACGAACCCCTCATTCCCTTTTTTTGTTTGTTTGTTTTTTGTTTTTTGACAGTCAGAGTAGACAGTGAGAGAGAGACAGAGAGAAAGGTCTTCCTTTTGCCGTTGGTTCACCCTCCAATGGCCGCCGCAGCCGGCGCACTGTGGCCAGCGCACCGCGCTGATCCGATGGCAGGAGCCAGGTACTTATCCTGGTCTCCCATGGGGTGCAGGGCCCAAGCACCTGGGCCATCCTCCACTGCATTCCCTGGCCACAGCAGAGAGCTGGCCTGGAAGAGGTGCAACCGGGAAAG